ATTTTGACTGAGAATTAAACCAGCACGTGCTTTGTACATTAAGCTACTACTTTAAAGCTTACTCCAGAATTTTCAGAGCACAGCCAAGTGCTGCAATGTTAATCAAAACAAGATGTCTGAGCAGTTGAGTACTGCAAGAGATCCTCCAGTGTTCAGCAGCAGGACCACCCAGAAATTTCTTTTAAGATGCAAGCTTAACAGCTGGGAAACCAAGCTTAGGCAAGTTAAACCATTTCTTCTCCTGTGTAACATTATCCCCCCCCAGGACTGCTGCAGATAAATACACCCTCATTCACAAATACAGCTGTACACTTAAATTTTGCCTCTTCTGATCTCATCTAGTACCCCAGAGAAGTTTTGGCAAGCATGACTATGAGATACAATTAAAAGCTCAACTGCGATACTTCTTAATTAATTACAAACAGCACTGTGATTGTGAAGCACACCTACATTTGCAGAGAGTTCAAGTATTCCAGCATATTTTAAAAATACTCCATATTTGATAGTTGCTGAAAAGAAGAGATACTGGGGGAAACGCTATAATAAGAATGCATCAAGATCTTTTTTTAAATAACCAGAGAAAAATCACTTAAAGTAATAGTTATATTTTATTTTCTCTTTTAGTTTCAATGTGCAGTATTTTCAGCATTTTCTTTTTTAAACTTAAACATACATCTAAAATTATAAGCTTTCCTTTTCCTTTGAGTACAATTGCTTTTGGGGTTGTGGCTCCAAGCTTTTGCTCATCATTGCCCTTAAAACTATACAGGACAACACCACAGGGTGTGTGTCACATGCCATTTACCTTCCCCTTCGTCAGGCTGACCCAACAAGATGGTATGCACACACAGACTGATGGGAATGATAAGCTCACACAAAATGCACAAGACAAAAACCAGCACATGCTTCACAAATGCTCTTCAGCATTTATACCCAGCTCACTTGTATACAGCTAGAACTTGACATACGATAGAAGCTCTCCTGGGTATGACTGTGGGATCTGCAAGATTTCCAATGGATACTTTAAGGTAGCATGCACAAAGTTTACCTGAAATCTCAACGTTAGGTAAAGTTAGCATATTGGATGTCCCCATAATGTTGCTACATTGCTTACTCTAGTTCTTACAGCAGTTTGCTTTCACTTCAAAATAATTAAACTACCTAAGAACTACCAAAGTACTTTGCTCTCTTATAACTCTCATCAATTGTATCCTGAAAACCAAAGTTATTTTAAAAGTAAGAGCAAAGCACTTACCATTGTCACTCAGTTAATTTCTACCTTTAGCAGAAAGTTTAGTTGGGATTGTACATGGAAAAAGTCTGCTTTATGCAATGAATATACCTGAATCAGTTCCCCTTTCTCTCATCCCACCCTTTTCAACTACTGGGTAAGATCCTCAATGACCAAATTTAATTAAACTGCTTATTGCTATATTTATTGCTCACTATACCCTCTCTTTTTTTTTTTTTCTTTTAAAAATTTTTATTTAAGAAGCATAAATGCTTAGTTGCGACAGCTCCACAAAATCTCAAGACAAACGAGGTCTGCTGCTCTTGGAGAACTGTCTTTGGAGTGTTTTTGACACAACCTCCTTATCTGCTATATAAAGTTAACAGACATTTAGAAAGGAGAATAGCAAGATAAAAATGTTCTTAAGCCAAATCTACTAAATATCAACAAATTACTTTTAACCCAAAAGGTTCCACTTGTTCCCCACTTCATCTGATCTAAATCTGTTCATTCATTACTCAGTGCTTTAGGAATGCTGCTGGTGGTTAAGAAACAAGCAATGTCTTGGTGCTGAGAAGGCATTCCCACCAAAGCAGAAGTAAAACACAATCATTTACTAGATGCTTTAGGCAAGAAATGACACCTGGGTATACACTTAAGAGAAGATTTAAATAAACTCACATCCAATTTCAACTGGCAAAGAACATATATAGTAAAGAAAATACTTTGAATCCCACAAATAAGAACTGCTTTACAATGGGTTGTAGTTTCCAACTCCTCACTCTTGCACTCAGTGCAAGGGAGGGGGCATGCTGAAATGAAATGCAATCAAACTTCATTTAACAGGCCAGCGGGTCACTGGTCCAAAAACTATTTATAAGAAGTTAGCCAGCATACAGTGTTCTTAAAGGAGGGCCACATTATAGATTTACTAAAGTAGGTTCTTTGACAACTGAATGGTAAATGAAGTTTTAAACATTAATCTGTCTTAAGTATGCTCCCAATCATGCCATACCTCTAATCTTGTAAGGTTGTAAAGAAGCCAGTTCCACTGCAGAGCACATTAAAGAAACTGTTTGCTTTGGTTAGCCAGGACACTAAATTGAAATCTTAAGCCAAAACATACTTCTACCCTGTTGTCAAACAAAAACTGAACAGCCTGATTTTCAGAATTAGCTTTCTGTCTAAAGCAGGTTGAAAACATTCTGTGAAATAAAACTTTTCCTTAAGTCAATCTCAAAGGAGAAGTGATTTATTCTTTTACTTTAAACCCAACATGGGTATTTCTTAGTGGCCGTTGTTTTGCTGTTACTGTCCCCATTGCATATCTCTTGGCTCTTGTCACTAGAAACAGGCAGGAGTGATTTTAAATATTATTTCACTCCAAAAGAAGCGAGGGTGGGGAAATCACATCTAGGAAGTAGACAGGAAAGTGTGTTGCATTAGATCTGAAGCATTACTGGTGTGTGTATCCACACTAGGAAGACCCTTAAGTTACATTCCCTTCAGGTCACTGAGAATTTCCTAAGAGGAGGTGCCTTTCTTTAGACACTTAGGACACATGTTTCAGGAGGTATACTACGACAAATCTCCAAGAGAAGTTAAAACAGATGGAGTTATTACTACCAGTGAGTTTGTGTGAGGTTAGAACCGACTGCATCAGCTCTAAAGCTTGACTAGAAATGGGTAATGCAAATATTTGCTTGAAGATCAGCAACAGGCATTTGAGGGAAGGGGGTCTGTCACATCTGATGTTTTTCATCCAGCCACGCTGACTGCTTAATTCAATGTATTCCTTCACTGGTTGGAAAGATTCTATGGCAAGTCCCAAATTGGTCTGGAAAGTTTCAGAAAGGGGCTAGCTCCCGTTATCCCAAGGTAAAGTAAACAGCCATTCCGTGTTAATCATGAGGAGCTTAAAATGATGAAGAATTTAACAGTTTGTAACACAACATATACTGTTATATGGTGAAAATATGACTAATCTGATGCTTAAAAAATATATTAAAATCTATTTTAAATTTTGGAAAATAGCTTACAAAAATATCTTCACTTAAAACTATATATCATACAAAAACTGACTGGTGTGTGGGTTTACAATACAAAACGATTATTGGTGGTTACAAAAGGGAAAAGTTTTCTATACTACCCTTAATGAAAGCACAGGGCATTTTATCTCACTGCCTTGAATTAGTCTCTTATCAGAATTAAGATAATTTGCAATATAGTTCAAAAACTTTCAAACAGTTATCTATTTTATTAAACCTTTTTCTGAACTCCTGTTCAGTTTCTTTTAAAAACCACCACAGTGCTGTGGCCCAAGAAAGAAGAGTAATCCAACTAATGGCAGAAATAATTGCTCTAGATAGTAAGATCTGTAGAGAGCTAAATACAGCAACATCTACAGTTGTTTCTACTGCCCATACTATTGGTTTTGTCTACCATTAAGAGGAAGTGACACCAGTGGACAATTCCTTTGTAATCAATTTATGGGCAGAAGCAACAATTTTTGGTCTAGATTTGAATTAGTTTAAATACATGGGTTTAATAAATACAAATATACACATCTGTATACATTAAATGTTGTCACATGTGTATAATTTCAACATATACATTATATACAGAAATACATACAGTACATGCTCCTCCTGACAACACTATCTCATTTTTCCAAGTGTCACCAAAAGGTGTGATAAGAAAATGAAGAGAGGTTAACTATAGGATGTGACTGAGAACCAAGGTATAATTTCTCTGTAATTAAAGAATTACAACAAATACAACTAAAGACAAATGCTGCGCTCGATTTCCCCATGTAATGCTCAGGAATCAATGGGGTTCCCTGTGTAGTGAGTAAAAGCTAAATCTGGCCCTGTGTGGTGTCCTAAAATTCATGGATATTTGTACTGTGTTTGTGCCCAAAGTATTCTGTATACAACAGGTCATAAAAGAGGTTGTGTAATCTAACACCTTAGCCAGTCCCAAAGTAGATCACAGCAGCCTTCTGATTCTTAACTGCTAGCATGAATTTGTGTAAATGAGAGTGGTTTGAATCCAGATGACTCCATGGTCTCAGTTAGGAAAGGTCAAATGGTTACTGACTACTGGGGAGCTTGCACCATTTTGTCTCTTAAAATGCTGTGCAGCACAGAAGAGCAGTTTCTCGAGTATAGAAAAGGCTGATCCAGAGTAACTAGTCCTCTTCTCTTACCATTATGTCTCAAAATAAAGGAATTCAAAAGAAGCTATAGTAAAGTGGATCACAAGAATATCTCCTTAGTACAGTTTCTCAAAACAAATTAATCAACATATTCCAGTTTCAAAGCACTTTAAGAAAAAAAGTGAGATGCAAAATAGGATGCAATCTGTACATTAAGATGGATTTACAAAAGGAACATGAATTTGAGCACAAGGAAAAAAATGAGGACAATACAGATGTCAAGACATTCAGTAGCGTGGCTTCTGTTCATCCCAAATTACAGCACAGCTCATGCACCACACATCTTACAATTTTACATACTGTACATGATATAGAAATATTTAAGTTAAAATTTCTTTTACTGATATACTGTACTGAAATTTTAAATCCTGAGAAGAAAAAAGAAAAATGTGTGGTTACGTATGTGCACTATATCTCCAACATCACTAACACATACACCACAGGATATCAGAAAGTCCAGAGAGAGGAACTACATGCTGGAAGCATAACTCATGAAAGCCATTTTCTCTTTTCCTTGTTTGGGAGAGACATTAGGAAACAATTTCTATTCTGTACTACACAACAGTATATACAGGTACATAAAACTATGATGTTTTCTAAGGACTGCAGCTTGCAGTAACAGTGGTTCTGTCAGCTTCTTACCGGCTGCAATACAGTGGCTTCAGCTGAACATTAGGAAGAAGAGTAATACCAGTTACCTTGCATCGTAGTACTTGCTCATATCTTACAGTTAGTAAATGTGTCTCAGGTTAGTCCCAAACACCACCTGAAAAATGTTGACGTATTTCTTTCCCCTCTCATGTGCCTGGTGTCAACAACAACTACACTAGACTTTTCAGGTGATCTCCAGTGCTGCAGAGCACTCGTCCATGCATTCTGGAAGTAAAAGTGGCAGGTCCATATTTATCACAAATGCAACCCCGGATACTTTCTTGATCTTGCATTCCCCATATTTCATATCGGATTCCAATACTAGTCATGCAGTTCCATTACACATCAGGATGTTCAACATGCTGTGACCTTGTGGACATTTTGCAAACAAGTTAGTAGGCGATGATATGGGGTTCCTGGAGATGCTACCACCTCAAACACCGACTGAAAGGCCCTTCGATCTAATTCTTCATCTATCTGATGTCGGTAAAAGTCTATGGCCACCAAACAGAAGATGTTAACATCCACTTGCTCAGATTTTCCCATTCTGCTGATAATATGTGGAAGACTGAAATATAAGTTAAGGTTGTAATATGACAGAAGTTGCTCATCTTTTGGTATAGCACTTTAAACACTGCTGTCCAATCAAACGGTGTATTTTTGAGTTCACCAACAATGTTAAAGTGCCAAATACTGTCATGTATCAATTAAATTGCTACTTCAGAAATCCTATTTCTTCATTAACTTCAAGCAATTTCTTATCCTCAGAAATTCATTTTAACCTAGCAGTAGTTTCCTTTATCCACTGGAGCAAACAGTGCAATCAGCAGCACAGTCACAACTACTGATAGCCAAAGAGCATTGCTGAGATTAAAAATCATTAACAAGTTTCAAACATGACATAAGGCCACTTTTTTCACCCAGTCATGAAATGGAACAGTTATTTTTCTGATTGTTTGTTTACCAGCACTGATAGTACCTCTATCTTTTGGCTGTTCCAACTTACTTGGCTGATGTCATTCCATTGCCAAAGCTCACTATTACTGCAGCGCACCTCCAAGGGGACACTTACAGAATCCAGTTTGGATGTAGAGGATAATTTTCTTAATCTGAGTTTGTTCTCTCTCTCTTTATTTAAAAAAAATATTTTGTCTTGCAGAAGGAATATAGAACAAGGTCACTGCAAAGCTATCTGGTGAAGATTTTAAAAAGCCTTTCAAAGTAAAGACTTTCCCAATCACCTCTCATAGTCACAAGGAACAGATCTAGATCTTAGTTTTAGATAACTTCATTCTCATAATCTGTTTAGAAGTTCTCTTTTTTCCCCTCAAACCCAAGGCACCAATAGCACCAAGTGATGTACACAACTACTAACTGCAGTAAATCTGCCTTTTTTTGTGTGTTAAACTTTTACTCTTATCTTTCAAGGCTATCAATGTGCTTTACAGAATCACTACATTAACACAGAAATGGCACACATTCAGTCTTTTTAGGATACATTGCTGAAATCCATTGACTGGTGGAAGCACTGACAAAAAAACAGGAAAGACTCCACATTGCCATTGCCACGGGTGTTCTTTGTGTGAAATTAGAGAGAGACAGCATCACCCAGTCACGGACCATTGAGGACTGTCCAGTGCTATGTAGTGTCTGGAAAACCTGCAAAAATATTTTACACAGGAATAAAAACATAGTAAGTGGATATGGGAAAGTTTAGTTTCTCTTGTAAAGATTCTCTCCAGCTACAAAGCTCTGAGGTTCACAAAAGAGATTCCTGGACAACTCTGAGTCTAAAGAATTAATGAACACAATACCTAGACAATTGTAGGCATTCTGCAAAAGAGTCAGCCAGGATCCAACTGGACTCATGACATTTGTGCCAAACTGAAGTAAGCATAAAGAAATGCAAGACTTGTCTGGTGCCTCTATATTTATACATCAAATGTGGTCCACACGTGCACTCTCAAGTGATGCATGAGCCCAGTAAGTAGGTGCTGAAAAGCAAAATACCCAGAAGCCCAAGTGAGACCACAGGAGCTCAACTGTAGAGTTCACAATGCCAGATGACCTGGGGTGTGTCCCTGAGCTCTAAAGAGTCTGAGCACCAGGATCCCAGCTATTAATTTTCTCTTTATTTTCCCATTATCAGTGATTGAACTGTACTGCTGTGACCTTTGTCTTCTGTGCAACATGGTAATTCTAGCCCTCCATGTTGCCCAGAAGACAAAGCTTACAGTGGTACAACTCAGTCGTTGCAACTGGTTTGTTAGATCTAACAAAATTGATATTTGCCCCTCTGATTGAGCTGTCAGTTATTTAGAAATCTTCTGAAACATTTAAGAAAAAAAAAAGAAACACTACCTTATAAACTACTGTTGCCATGAATTGTGGGTAAGGTTGTTGATTGGATAAAAATTCTCCAATAACTTTATTCATCACATCTTGTGGGGGAAAAAAATCATCAAGGAACTGTGGAAGGATCCGAGCCACTACTCTAGCTTCAAAAGGAAATCCCTTCCTGATCCTGAAAATATTAAAAAAAGAACATATTTTATGATTGAATTCCAGTAAGTATCTCATTCTTTTCCAAATTAATTTGTAATAGAAAGAACATTTTACTTTCACCTCTAGACAAGCAAAAAAGTCTTCAACACTGAGGAATCCAAGTCTTCATGTAATCTTACTCTAACAGTCTACTCAAAGAGGTCTAATAAAGCTATTAGAAGTTGTTACAGGTGTCGTGTCCTCCCACACTCCCCCCCTTTTTTACATATAGTCAACATTTTTTAAAGCTCTAGAATTGCATCAGAGACAAGATTTAATAATAGGAATGCTGAAAAACTAAACAAGAACAAAAAAGGACAGGGAGGTCACTACTCCCAGTTATCAGAGAAAAGACGATTTATAAGCAGAATACTAATTTCCATTCATAATGTCTTTGCATTTTTTATTCAAGATCACGATGAGCAATATATTGAACAGGAAAACCAAGCTGCTGCATTGTCAAGAGGGGAACAATACTCCAACTTAAAGGCAATTTTACTTAAATAACACCGATTGGAAAATCTTCCTAATAAAGGCTGCATCTGTTGATGTGTCAAAATCAAGTTACTACCGTGTGATTATTCCCTGCAAAAGTTAATTTCTGCTTGTAGTATTAATGTTTGTTTTGCTAGCTCTTAGCAGTGATATTTTCAAAAGTACTCAAGCACTGCTTTAGTTCTGTTCTCACTAAGTGCAGAAGTGAAACTCTCATCCAGTTTTATGGAAAAACTACTGAACACTTTAAAAAAAATGTAAACCATTATCCCACAAACTACTATGCAAAATCTAACACGCTATGCTCACTTAAGACAGCTTAAGATTGTCAGATCAAAACAGGAGTTTTGAAATATTTCCATTAAATGAGTTCCATCTGAATACAGAAGTGTTACTGTACCCCTCCACTGCAATTACTTAACAGCCCTGAAAAGAGCAGCACTTGGGTGGGAGAAGGGGAAAAAGGCTTTAAACTCTTAGGGTGGTTTGAAAGATTATTTCCTGTGAATTGGATTTATATCCTTGAATATGCAGAAGACATCCTGAAAAGCACTTAAGAGTTTGACCTGAAGGGAGTTGGAAATATATTTATAAAGTATTATGGTTTGTGCAACACACAGTATCAGTTAGAACATGTCTGTTTTCCATTTACATTCTTGTGCATTTGTGCTGCCTTCAGCAATTCCATCAGTGTTACTGTGTAGACTAGAAGTATCATTTTTAAGCAATGGTAAGCAAAGAAACATCATTAATTAAATATTAGATCTCAAAGAAGTGACCACACAGTGCCAAACAAATAATTTCCCTACCCATGTTTTATCCTCTTACCTATCAAAAAGGACAGATACTCGTTCCATAGCTACGATCACAGATTCACTGTCAGGAGCGGCAGGATTTACATCTGTGGTACGACTGGGGCTGATTTTTTCCTTTCCTAAGCCAAAATAATTTATTACAGGTTTATTGTGAGTGCTAAAATAAGGCCTTTTAATCCTTTGTAACAAAAAATAAATGAAGAAAATTAGTACTGTTGGTAAGCTAGTCTCTCAGCACATCAAAAATACACATATATATATAAAAATACCTGTGTACATGCAAGTCAGCATTAATCCAAGTGCTGCCATGGCTCTGTGGGGGCTCTGCACATTCACTCTGTCAACACTCAGTTTAACGAGCGATTCACTATCCAGCCTGGAAAGCTGCTCTGAAAGAAGGAGTCGTTCTAATCCTCTCAGAACACAGTGATAAATAATGGATGGTGTTGATTCATCACTTCCAGACACCATGACTCCACACATCTGAAATAAAGAAATAAGCCAACTATCTGTTTTTTGAGGTGTATTTAGGTCATCTAGCACCATACCACTGCAGCTAGTATGGAACTGTATCAGGTATTAAGAAAACCTGATGAAACTAAACCCAAAAGCACACCTACACCACCATAATCAAGTTAACTGTTAAAGACAGCTATGTGGAGAACCCAGGTTACATGATCACCTGTGATTGGAGGTATCACAACATACCTGTATAATTCCTGCAGAGAATTCAGGCCCTACATCAAGTGGGTAATTCTCAATCAAATAGAAAGCAGCTGCACACATTACCAAGATGTGCTGTTGGTTATGGATATTCACACAACTGCAAATAAGCAAAAAAATTATTGGTCACTTCCATCAAAGTTGTCTAGGTCACAAATAGAAACAATATAAACAATCCTTAGAAACACTAAGTATGTTTTCCACATGAAATTTATGCAATTCTTAAAATTACAAAGTATCACCAAGATGCCATAAGAGAGCACAGGTTATCATGCAAATCCAATGTAACACAAGATATTTTTTAGCAATGTAATTACAAGCTATCATTGCCTGACTTGTTTAGAATCCTGTGAGTCTTATTCAGAGAGTATGCTTTTTGACAGAAAAATAAGGTTTAGAGAACACAGTTTACCAAAGAGACAAAAGTCTGAGCTATCACAGGTTTCTCACCCTCAAATATCCTTTCGCTTCTGTAAACTAAACCTAAAATTGGCTCGTAAGCTTAATTTGTAAGATTTCAATGAAAAAGTCAAAACCTGCTTGTCAAAAAACAGCAGCCTGATCTAAGATGTATTGACAACAGAAACCACAGAGCCCTTTTGTTCACATAAAAGCATGCAACAGTTTGGGGGTAGAGAGGAAGAGAGAAGAGTCTTACTGTGCTACTCCTCTCAAATTAGAGAGCAGATACTCGCTGATAATTGGAATGAGTTGCTTTGCTGTCTCATCAAGCAAGTCACACTCAAGGATATAAAGAATTCCATGCAGAGCTCCAATCCGACTTGGCATATGGGTGCTTCTTAGGGTTGATTCCAGCAGTCGACTTACTGGTTCAGCCACAGCTTTATCCTAATATATCCAACAAGAGTATTCATTAGAAATCAACACTGGTTCAATACTGGTGACTCCTGTCATTTGGAAATACTTGGAACAAATTAAAGAGCAGAAAATATGGCATGTACCAGAGCCTGGCTTAAAACTACTTTGAATCAAATGTCACAAGATTATTATAAGCAGATAAGATATGACTTACAGATTAACTAGTAAACTGATACTACTCTGTTTTACCTGTAAAAAGTTACCTCATTATTTAAAGTAAAAAAAAAAAAGAAGGGAAGCACTAGTCCAACAAATAACAAGTGCTATTAAGAATCCTCTGCATATCAGACTTGAATGACTGGAATTTTCTGACCTTCCACATAACCACAAAGGATGCTTCTGTCTGAAACAGACTGGTAGTCAGTGATGCCTATAGTCTCAATCAAAAAGAATACTCTGCCATCCACTCAACTCCTAGCACAGCGTGCCATTTATTTGTTCTCCGAGACCACTGGTGCTCAGACCTACACATCTTTATCTCCACCACTCCCACAATCTGGATGAGGGGATCAAGTGCATTCTCAGTAGGCTTGCAGATGACACCAAGCTGGGTGGGAGTGTTGATCAGCTTGAGGGTAGGAAGGCTCTGCAGAGGGACCTGGAAAAGCTGGATCAATGAACCAAGGCCAGCTGTATGAGGTCCAACAAGGCCAAGTGCCAGGTGCTGCACTTGGGTCACAACAACCCCATGCAGTGCTACAGACTTGGGGAGGAGTAGCTGTAAAGCTGCCTGGCAGAAAAGGACCTGGAGGTGTTGGTCACTATCCAGCTGAATATGAGCCAGCAGTGTGCTCAGGTGGCCCAAAAGGCCAACAGCATCCTGGGCTGCATCAGAAACAGCATGGCCAGTAGGAGTAGGGAAGTGATCGTCCCTCTGTACTCAGCTTTGGTGGGGATGCACCTTGAATACTGTGTTCAGTTTTGGGCCCCTCACTACAAGAAGGACATTGAGATGCTGGAGTGTGTCCAGAGAAGTGAAATGAAGCTGTTGAAGGGTCTGGAGAACAAGTCTATGAGGAGCAGCTGAGAGAACTGGGGTTGTTTAGCCTGGAGAAAAAGAAGCTCAGGGGAGACCTTATCCCTCCCTACAGCTGCCTGAAAGGAGGGTGTAGTGAGGTGGGTGTTGGGTCTCTTCTCCCAAGTAACAAGCGATAGGACAAAAGGAAACATCCTCAAATTGTGCCAGGGGAGGTTTAGATTTTATATTAGGAAAAATTTCTTCACTGAAAGGGTTGTCAAGCATTGGAATAGGCTGCCCAGGGAACTGGTTGAGTCACTATGCCCAGAGGCATTTAAAAGACACATAGACATTGCACTGTGAGACATGGTTTAGTGGTGGACTTGTCAGTGTTTGGTTAAGGGTTGGACTCTGATCTTAAGGGTCTTTTCACAGAATCACAGAATGTGGGGATTGGAAGGGACCTCGAAAGATCATCTAGTCCAACCCCCCTGACAGAGCAGGATCACCTACAGATGGTCACACAGGAACGTGTCCAGGTGGGTTTGAACAT